AAAGATCACAGAGGAAGAAGCGGGCTTTCCGTTTCCCGAAGACTTGCAAAGTCATCTTTGTGTTGCGAAGCGGATCGCGGCCGAACAGGGTCCTCCCAAGGCTCACGTGAGACCTACAAGGTATAAGATTGGACATTTCTCGGCGGGTTTGTAATTTGAACCGCCTCGAGAAGAAGAGCGAGGAATGCTGTCTCGCCTGTTGGAGCTGGACAGTCCCCATCTCTTCTCGACAGAGACCTACTTCCGCACACCTGGCACAGGTGTGAACACTTCGGTTGTTATTTCCGTAAAAAATTCACCCGGAACTTCGAAAAGTCACCCCGCATTTAAGATGAAGAGCTCCTGGACGAGGGTCGGTGTTGGCAATTTCTGACAGGTGCTGGTGTGCCCTGGCGTGGCCCCCGTCCGCCCCTTCCTAAGCTAGCTAGCTAGCTAGCTTGGCTGCAACGTCGTGATGAAGAAAGGAGCGCTGTTCTCCGATTCTGGGGGAGCAGAACGACAGCATTTGCGAGATCATCATTTTCCAGGAAGCCGAGAATCATACGCAGAAGCCATGCACCTTTGAACATGGTGGGGCCGGGTGGGTGGAGCTGCAGCACGCCAAGGTCATCAGCAGTGTTCTGTTCTATGCCGTGCTTCGGATGGCATGTGAGATAGCAAGAGGACATTTATGTGAGGTCAGATCTGGGAACAAGCGGTGGTCCTGAGAGACTTTGGAAGCTCAATTAGATTGTGCAGATTGACTCGGACTCGGGCCTGAAGTGCAAGGTGGGTTCCTTGCTGATAGAAGGATCATGCGCGGAATCTTCGGAACAAGCTATTGGAACGTGTTAATGCTTCAAAGAAGAGTTGGGTGTGTAAATCCAGGCAAGGGCTGGACTGCGAGCCATGCAATATGCTGTTCGGATGGGGTGGGTCGGCCCTGTCGTGGGTGGATTTTGGGGCATTGTCGTTGGAAAAGCTACAAACCGGCCGCATGCCAGTCTCCTCTTAGCGGGACACAGCGTTTTGCCATGCACGAGTTCAGCAAGTTGCAGTGTCCTTACATTGCGTTCCGCCATGGTGTGGACCAAGGTCCAGTGCGACGAGCGAGACGCCGTGCTCTTCTGCGATCAATGCAAAGACTTCTTCTGCCAGGGCTGCTTTGCCCCAGCCTTAGGCGACAATAATCCCATTGAACATCCCCAACAGCGGAATGGCTGGCGTTGGGTTCACATTGTAGGGCACCAGAAAAGCTGACAGAGCTGCCGGCCGGGCAGATTCTGATTCGAGCAGTTTATGGGTGGCTGCATCTTCAGGTGTAGGGACAGCATTGAGCTCCAGATTTGTTGAAACTAGGGCCAAATGCATGCAGCAGGCCTCTGAAACTGCATTTGGGGTTGGTCGGAGGCTTCGTCAGCTCGATTGCGGTTGGGGGACTGAGGCCAGGAACACCAGCAAAGTTGAAATAGCTCAAAATGTTGTTTCCATGCTGTGACAAATGCATCGTGGGGCATTGGAAACAAAGCGGAAGCATTTAGGCATTGAGCTCCAGATTTGTTGAAACCAAGGCCAAATACGTTTGGCAGGCCATGGCATTTGGGCTTGGTCTGAGGCTTCGGGAGCTCGGTTTGAGTTCGGAGACTGGGGCACAAGCAAAGCTGAAACAACTCTAAATGTGCTTCCAAGGCTTGACAATTGCATTTTGGAGCCCTGGAAACTAAACTAAAAAACATTTGCAGCACGATATTCGGGCTTAGGGACGGCATTGAGCTCCAGAATTGTTGAAACGAAGGCCAAGTGAGTTCAGCCATGCCTTGGAAAATGCATTTGGGCTGGGTCGGGGGATTCGAGAGCTCAATTAAAGCCTCGGGAGTGGGGCGGCGCACCAGCAAAGCTGAAGCAGCTCTAAATGCGTTTTCCAAGCTTGGCGCCCTGGAAACCAAATTAAAGCATTGACAGTGCGATTCTCGGGTGTCGGGACGGTATTGAGCTCCAGCTTTGTTGCAACTACGGCCAAATGAGGGGACTGGGGCCAGGAGCATCAGCAAAGTTGAAACAGCTCTAAATGCGTTTTCGAAACCTTGAAAATGCACTTCGGGGCCCCGCAAATCGAACGAAAGCGTTTGCAGTACGATTTTCGGGTTTAGGGACGACATTTAGCTCCAGATTTGTTGAAACGAAGACCAAGTGCGTTTAGCAGACCGTGGAAAATGCATTTGGGCTGTGTCAGGGGCTTCGAGAGCTCAATTAAAGGGGGCCAGGGGCACCAGCAAAGCTGAAACAGCTCTAAATGCGGGTATTGAGCTCCAGCTTTGTTGCATCCACGGCCACATGATTTCAGCGGGCCTTGGAACCTGCATTTGGTCTTGGTCGAGGTTCGGGAGCTCGACTTGAATTCGGGAACAGGGGCGAGGAACATCAGCAAAGCAGAAACAGTTCTAAATGTGCTTCCAAGAACTGAAATTGCATTTGGTGCCCTGGAAATAAACACTAAAACATTTGAACTACGATTTTCGGGTTTAGCCCTCGGACCGGACGTTGCGCCGCAGAACACGACATGCAGACTGCCCGTGCTTGCCGTGTCATGCTGCGGCTTAGGCCTCAAACTCTGCGCGCCCTCGGCGCGAAAGCGCCTCCCGTAATGTAGATCCTTTCCCAAACATGTAGATCCCTTCCCGCTGAGCACCCCTGTCCCAACCATGATAACGTCCACACAGACTCCACCTCTCGCACAGAGCATCCTGTCCCGAGTCCCAACCATCATGGCGTCCACACAGGCTTCATCCGTTCCCAGAGCGCGTCCATGTCCTAACCGTGATAACGTCCACGCAGACTCCATCCGTTCCCACAGAGCATTCATGTCCCAACCATGCGCCTCTGCATATACAAGAGTATGTTGCTGACAAAAGGGCTGCTCTTGGCGCAGTCACAACAGTTGATTGCGGGATACGTGCAGACGTTCAGCTTAAGAAAACACTTCTCGCAACGGCACCCCGCCCGAGAGGTGATGCAGTGGGATGTAGCTTTAAAGGAGTCAGCCATCGCAAAGACGATTGATACGGTGTTTCCTACTTCTCAACATACTTAGGTCTTATGGGTGCACGGCAAGACCCGCGGTCGGAGCGGGGTTTAGGGACTGCATTGAGATCCAAATTTGTTGAAACGAGGGCCAATTGCTTGGCCGAAACGCTCGAGAAACGCATTTTCGAGCAATTTGCCGTACCACCGTACGTGGAACCTGCCCGGAACTGGCTCCGGAACCTCACTGTAATCTGCAGCGGAACCCGCCCTGTCAGGGACATCAGAAGCTCCCCGGAACCTATCCGAACCTGCGCCGGAACCTGCTTCGGAACCTCAGGAACCTCTGCGGAACCTGCCTTAGCACCCAGGCCAGGCCTTGCCCCAATCTAACCCAAACCTTATTTCGGCTGAAGACCACAACGCTCACACTGTCGGGGAAGAACAGGCCTGGAAGCTGGGAAGCTGGTTCGTGAATCGCATGTGCAAAACTCTCCTGATGGCCCCGAGGACAGACTGCACAGCAGAGGCCGAAGGCAAAACCACAGACGCACGTGGGCGATACCCTCGGAATCAGTCGGATTCCGGATTCCGTGCCTTTAGCCTTGTGATCTTGTTGCTTCAACTCTGAACCGCTCCAGGTTGAAATGGGCATGTGCGCAGAATGTGTGGAAAGCATCGCACTCTTCCACTGCGTGCAGTGTGCTGACCTGTACTGCAGAGACTGTTTCCAGGCGACTCGGGATGCAAGGTGTTTGTTGTGCTACTGTTCTATCATCGGTTACAGGACGTAACGTTGCATCTGGTGGTGCGCAGGAGTGGCACGTGCGTGGTGGACGAAGGAATCATATTCCCATCATCCTCAGATCTTTCAATTCGCAGACGCACCAGCTCCCAGAAGCCACACCTGCTATGGGCACCGGAGCTGCTCAAATCCTGGCCAAGGCAAGACCATGAGCGCAGCGGCGCATCTTAATCATGGTCTTCGGAAAGCCTCGCAGGCACGAAGTCCTTGGGTAGAGTTCATCGATGAGAACAACGTGCGTGCCTCGAAAAACGGAGGGCCGAAGCCGAAGCCCATTCGGGGAAGTTTGGGGTTTTCGGGGTGGAAACGGCCTGAGTGGCAGGTGAAGCTCTACTACAACATCCTCACAACTGAGTCCAGGATTGTGTCGAGAGGATTTCAAGTCTTGTGCGCAGTCCGTTGGTCCGGTGCTTCCAGGAGAGACAAGCCTCTCGCCGTGATTAACGAGCCAATCGAGGACAACAAGGGTGGAGGCTTGGTGGCCGTTTGTTGTATCCAAATGACACTCGCATGTCCAATTTCCAGGGATGAGCGCGGGCTGGTCTGGGACATGGGGCCAGCATCCTAGCGGCTGTGGTTGGCTGCTCGAGTTCCCTGTCCCAGCTTCTGCGGAAGGTGCCAACATGTTTCCAGATCCACTCAGTCGAACTCAGCCAAGTGCACCTCAAATGGAGACGGCCTTTTGAGGTGCGGCTGGATTGCACTGCCTGTTGAATTTCTGCTTTGCACCCCCAGGATGCCTCAATGGGCGACTTCTGCGCTTTTCCCCCTTCCTGGCCTCAACGGCGTTTCACCGGCCATCCTGGAGAGGGATGTGTCTACCGTTTCACAGTATACAGCATACAATCCAATACATCTTGAGAGCATCTTGCAACGTGTTATATGTAGTTCTCAGGCATTGAAGCGAAGCCTTTTAAGATATCTATGTTATATCAGAATTTTATTTGGTGCTTGCATGTGCATTCAAAACAGGGCCAGGGCGATTCGCGACTCCCTGGCTTCAATATGTCACTGAGACGCCGGAACCCACGGGTCCAGCTCCGACATCTGCGTGTTCAAATCCTGGTGCTGGCTCGAAGCGAGTGGGACACCAGGGCCATGCAGTGGACCAGTGCAGTGCGATGCCGGGGACCTGTGACAGATTACAAAAATTTTTAGAACATGTGATGTGCAGAGATGCAGCTGTTCCAAGGCAATGAACAACATTCCCGCGCTGCTGAACCACTTGGACGCTAATAGAGAGGCGAGCAAGATAGCACAAGCTCCATTGAAGCTCATCAACCTAGAGACTTCCTGCTGACAGTCGCCCACCTTGAGCTTGGCGTACGCGTCCATCTCAGATGAAGGCATCGTGGAGGTTCGATGCTGTACTTTTTCATTCAGAAGTACCATGGGATCTGCACCAACCACGACATGTCCGAATTCACTGTTCCTTCACAGGTGTCGAAATTCCTGCGGGACAATCCCTTTGTGAAGTGCCGGTCGGCTAGAGTTTATGCACTCGAGGCTGTTATCCAAAGGGGCCGCTTCTTGCCGAGAGTTGTCGCATTCAGGTGTTTGCTCTGTGCTTTCAACCACCTCCAGAATGGGAAAGACATGTGCACAATCGTTATGGTGACCAGTGGAACCAACCTCTGTGCGCAGTTCGGGTGCATAATGTACATCACACATTGCACGCATGCATGCTACGTACCAGGATGCCTCTAAAACTGTTTGACGATGCACATGAATGAAATTCCATGTCTACACGCCCACGTGAAAGTGAATAGCCAGGTGAATGCACCCATCGTCAGTCAAATCTGTAAACAACTGTACACATGCGTTATATATACGTAATATATACACATGTAATATAAATAAATAAATATATATATATATAACATAGAATAACATCAAACAATAGAATATGCTACACTCTGATGTGCCATAATATAGCTTAACATTAGGGATTAGAATAGAAATAATAGAATGAATGTGATATCATCAAATGTAACATAACATAATGCAAGGTTATAGCCAAACAGAATTTAGCCTGAGAAAGGGAAATGTAATATGACATGATGCAGTCCAACCTGGTATTCGTGTATGTATACATATATATATATATGCATATTAATGACAAATAATGTATTGTAACACAATGTAATATGCTGTTTTTATATAATACTGTATTATGAGATAGTGTAAAATAGTACAGCATAGCATAGCATAGTATTGTATGGTATAGTATAGTACAGTATAACCTAGAAAAATATACTAGCAGATAGCATATTAGATATGAATATACTCTAGCCTTTAACTGCACTAAACAAAAATGAGTGATGGTGTATACACATAAAAAGTACGCGATTTTATACTGTACGTGTATACACATGTACATGTATATGTAAATGTATATGGATAAATATGTATATATATATATGTTTATATGTTTATATGTATATATGTATATATGTATATATGTATATATGTATATATGTATATATGTATATATGTATATATGTATGTGTGTATATAGGTATACATATGTATAAGTATATGTATATGTATAGTTTTATGTGTTTATGTATTTTTGTATGCATATATGTGTATGTATATGTGTATGTGTATGTGTATGTGTGTGTGTGTGTTTATTTGTATGTGTATGTGTATTTGTACACGTATGTATGTATGTATGTATGTATGTACGTAGGTATGTATGTGCGTATGTATGTATGTATGTATGCATGTATGCATGTATTCATCTTTGCATGTATCATGTATGCATGCAGACACGCACGTACGTACACAGGCATGCACGCACACACGCACGCACACACGCACGCATGCACGCACGCACGCATGCACGCACGTACGCACGCACGCAGGGACGGACGTGGACGGACGGACGGACGGTGGATGGATGGATGGATGGATGGATGGATGGATGGACGGATATACAGAAAGACAGATGCACATGTACGTCGACGTGCCATGAAGCAGGCGGAAACCTATGTGACCGATATACCTGTTACAGCCCAGAACACCGGTTCACCAACTGAACGACCAAATATGCTGCTTGGCCTGACTTAGCATATGCACCGATACAGCGAGTAGAACCCTTCCCCTTTTGGGGAACGCACCGGGCATTTTAGTGTTTAAGGGGCACCCGTCCCGTTTGGGATTTGTGCAAGTTTCGAGCATTGTACAGGGCCTAACACGTCCGTAACTGGCCGTGCGCTTTTGTGCAGGTTTTGCGGGAGGGAGGCTTTTTTCCGTGGATTCTAGGCGCTGCCAGGATCAGACTTTACTTAACTTTACTTGGGGAAGGGGGGTGGGGAGTGGGGGTGGGGGGGATCTGGCGCCGCCAACTTTGTCTGTAAAATGGGAATTGAAGCCACGCCTGCCAGCAAAAGTCAAGACAGTGTTCGGGTTGGGGAAGCCAGGATTATAAGGAAGGAGAAATTGGGCTTTGAACCCATGCTGCCAGCAAAAGTCAAGACAGCGCAGGCATGCCTGTGAGAATCACATTCAGGAGCTGTGTAGAGAAAACGTGCGATGCCCTAAGTTTCATTGCGGCCGCGATGGGCGACTGCAATCCGAGTGCTCGCTAATACGCTCGAGTACACTCGAGTATGCTCGAGTACGCTGGAGTATGCTCGAGTGCGCTCGAGTACGTTCGAGTATGCTCGAGTATTCGAGCACGCTTGAGTATGCTCGAGAATGCTCGAGTACGCTCGTGTATGCTTGAGTATTCCCGAGTACCACTCTAGCAGCTATCACAAAACATAGACCGTAGTATTCACTACCATAAAACAACAACATGCAGGATGCATGTCGTGTAATATTGTAGGGTGTACTACATATAAACTAAGTTATGATCTTTAATGGAAAAATGAAAGTATAGCAATATAGATATTATCATATAACTTATCATGTATACCGTTTCGATACAAAGTATGATACATTGCACAACATAAAGTATATCGTATATGATATGCTGTACTAGATATGAATTAGATGGTATAATATCAAAATTCTACTATACCATATACATCATCGAACAGTTCGTGTATTAATATAACAAAGTACAATGTGACATAGCATAATGTAAAATACACAACATACAGTATATTACATGTTTGACATTTTTGTTAAAAAGTTCGAAATATATAACAGACAATAGACAACATATAACATGTGATCCGTAATTTTTCATTTACAATTTGTACTGTGAAAATATATATAGCAGCTAGTATGTAATTTATATTACATGCATGCTGTACCATGTATAGTGATTTTACCACACGAAATCCTTTTTATAATGTACAGCATAAAAACATATAACGTAAAAAGTATAGCATAAAATATGAATTACATGTTATAAATTATCTACTGTGTGTATTATATAACTAAGCTTATAGTGCATATACATGTATTAACTTCATTGTATGTGCCATAGGTGGATAACATATTACATTATATACAAGCATACCTGGTGCAGACAGTTCGCTCATACCCGGCACATACTCGCTCATGCTCGAACATGCCCGCACATACTCGCGCATACCTGCACATACTCGCGCATTCTCGCACGCATGCTCGTGCATGCCCGCGCATGCTCGCACACACCCGCGCATACTCGTGCATACCCGCGCATACTCGCGCATACTTGCGCATACCCGCGCATATCCGGGCATACTCGCACATGCCCGCGTATACTCGCACATACCCGGGGGTATCTAAGCCCCCTACCAGCAGTCGCGCTTTTCCGTCACAGTGCTAAGTTTCTAGGCTACATGGTCCTTGAGAATCATTATTAGAATCATATCTGCATATTTTGACTTTTGCTGGCAGGCGGGGTTAAGAGCCCATTCCACATAAACCTGGCTACCGAAAACCCCTGCTGTCACTTATGTACGTGTGACCAGAGAGGGCCATGTGTATTCGTGGCGACCTTGGGGAGAGTTCGTTGTACTCGCGATTCAGTTTCTGTATTCACAAGGTTTCGTTTTTAGGGTTTAGGGGAACGAAGTGCAAGGTTTAGGGTCTTGAACAGGGAGACCAGAGAGGGCCTTGTGTAAGAAGTGGCGACCTTAGGGAGAGTTCATTGTGCTCGCGATTCGGTTTCTGTATTCACAAGGTTTCGTTTTTAGGGTTTAGGGTTATTGGAGGATGGGGTAGGAACTAAGTGCAAGGTTTAGGGTCTTGAACAGGGAGACAGGTATCACTGTGCCGACATTTTGGGAAATCGCAGCATTTCCGATTTGTTGCCATCGATGCCGGTACATTGGTGTATCGGCACATCGGCGCAACCAGCAGTTCTGCCATTATTGACCGCTCATTTCCAACTTAGCTGAAAGAAAGACGCATTTTTATCTAATATTCGTTTTTCCTCCTATATATACATATATACATACATATGTATATACATATTATAGGTACAGAAATAATTGTATGTTTTTAACATGAGAATATGCATGCTCACGAAGCACAACAATGTGTGGCTTTCCACAGGAGAACCACGCAACGGGCAATGCAGAGAAATTGCAATTCTGAAAAATATGAGCGGCTGTGTGCTTGCCGGGGAAAGCCTTACTATTCAATAAACATATGCTGGCATCTCTCACAACCTCGAGTAGAAACCGTTCGATTTTAGCCGCCCTTTTTGCGACACGCGTGCCTGAAATCTCCACTATACTCCCAATTGCAATCTTCACAATGCTCATGTTACGGGGTAGCAATGATGCTATTCAATGCTTTCGTGGCACATGCACAGAGATATGTGTCGGCAGCATGGGAGCGCAACCGCATGAAGCATTCACATCAGTTGAACAAACCAAATTATCTACAACCTCACATGTGCGCACACCTGATGTTCCGGGTCGCTGTTCCTGTTGCTGCTGTTCGTGTTCGTGCTCGTGATGCGCTCAAGACGGCGTGCTGCTCGGGCGAAAGAGCAATCGGGCAAGCTTTCTTCAAAACCCCAGAAGCCAGGTACTTGGACCTCCGAGGAAACAATATCCAAGCTTTGGCCTGAAGATCTTCGAAAGTTCAGACAGTCCAGTGGAGTCGGCTGGAGGCCAAAGGGGCCATGGCACTGGCCAACGGCATCAAGATCAACAGATCTTTGCGAAGTCTGAATTTGAAATGGCCACAGCCTCAGTCCGTGTGGGGTGCTTGGAAATCCGGGCACGCTTCTGGATAAGGAACGCCATTGGAAAAGATCCCAGTGGCTTGAATGCCCTTTGCGATGTCCTGAAGCAAGACACCAAGATCAAGACATGCGCGAGTTTTCCAAGCGGGTTTCCCTTGGGCAGCGTCAGAACCTCTGCAGGTCGAACCTGACTGTCGGGCATGTCGATCTTCGAAACAATCGTGTCAACAATGTGGGTGCAAAATACATCGGCGAGATGTTAGCCTCAAACACGACGGCCCGTGTCCTAGATTCCACGTGTGTGTGTGTGTGTGTCTGTGTGTCTGTGTGCGCTTGAGCTGATTTCTCCTCCGCACTTGCTGCACGTGCTGTGGTCTTCAGATTACGCACTTGGACCTGTCTTGGAATGACCTGGGTGCTGATGGTGGTCTGGCACTTTTAGAAGGCGTCGGTCTGAACCAGCACAGCTCTGTGAGGGAGGTAACCATATTCCCGTGAAGGCCTGAAGCACAATAGCACTGTCCTGGATTGTCAGCTCAGTGGTTCCAAGGTGGACCTGCATGAATCCGCCGTCGTTTTACAGAACCCGCTGTACTGCGCTTGCTCGGGCAGGTTGGCGAGGAGACGCTGCACGAAGTGGCATTTCTGCTTCGACGGAATAAAGCTTCTGCAGCGTGCCCCGAATGTACTTGACGCCAACTCGAGTCTGTTCCTCGCAGGGACCACAAGAACAGTGCCACACGCAGCATCTCACAGCGTCGGACCGCAGAGTGAATCGTCACCGCATGTTGTCCGGTGATTCTGTTAGATTCGGCTGCCTCACACCGCCGTGTCCGGGGCGGGCAGTCTACTGCACACCACCGCAGGGAATCGGATTCGGGGATTGTTCCGTTCTGCAGCACGGCGCATGAGCTCACTTGGCTGCATGCCTTGCGAGCTGCCGCATCCTCAACATGGAACCAGCGTCCCCATGGTGTACAGTATGCTCTCCAAGTAAGTAGACAAGCACTTGGAAGATCCAGTGTTCCAAGAAACATCAAAGATGGAGCTCCCACTCAATCATGTGGCACGCAAGCTGGCACAACGAAGGTAGGCACGGAGAAGTGACGCAGGTACAAAGCGAGCTCGAACTCGACTGGAGCACAAATGGCCCGGGACTATTAAAGATGAGATACTAGAGTCACTAGAGTGAGTTCTCGCGACTGTGCCTTGGACTCGCGAGCTCGAGGCAGCAGCTGATTCCAAGACAGCCACCCTTGGAAACCCAGCAGCACTGAGCCTGACGTTTAGGCTTCGTACAGAGCATTTTCGGAGGGCCGGTTGCTGGAAGCATCAGGAAAGCCAGTCGCTCCTGGTCGATGCTTGGCAAAATTTGGCTATCGACGTGGCCAGCTGCCGCCATGAGACGGTTTTCGTTTTGATATCCGAAGTCCCCAACAGCCTCCAAGTAAGTATCGTGTAGAGCTTGGGGTTTGGAATGCATTTAGCCACGGTTCTCAAAAGCAAGCACGCCTGCAACATCAGAGGCATCGAATTTCGGCGGTCAACGCACCTTCGACAGTCGTCCCCAGTCACCGCTGATCCTTGCAGTTTTGGCACTGGCTTTCGATGGCCCCTTCGTAAGCTGTGTAGCTTCCGCGAATTCGTCGGTCGGAGTGTGGACCCAGAGCACAGCAATTCATCGAAGGAGTTTACATTACGTTTTTGAGATATGTGACAGCTGAGGAGGGCAGGTGGACCGGAGCCAAGCAGAGACCAAGGCGAGACACGACTCTGCACATGACGGCTCGTCGCTCCTGTGTCCTGTTGAATTTTTTCGGTGTGTCGGAGGCTCCAGAAGCAGAAGCCTTGCCTCCAGCAAAGAAGGTGATGGTGTTTCAGGGCCACTCTGACTACAAGGGTTTCAGCTCTGGGTATGTGCGGCCAGGGCCCACAAGCGAAAGCGAACTGGACACCAAAGGATCGACTTTGTATTGCCTTTGGTATTGCGGTCGATGGTGCTGGTCGTCCAGGACAGTAGCACGTTGATGCTACGGCTGATGATGAAGGAGAGGGAGCAGGCACATGAGTGAAGCCAGATTCCACTGGATTTTGCACAGCTTGAGTTCGACTATTCTCGAAGGTTCTGCCGGAGGACAAGGTGTTCTACCAGCAGATTGCAGAACACATCGAAACCCAGCGGCACACTGTTTGTCAGCATCTTGCGCCTTCCTCCCCGTTACCCTCCACCCCCGACCCTCCCCATTGCGCTGAGATGCGCTGAGGACAAGCTTCTGCTGGAAACCTCGAAGCACAAGCAGGGCAGAGCTTCTTGGACGCACTAGGTCACTAGGCCTCGGTTTATGCTTGATCGTGGACATCCGAGGTCGATGGCGAAGAGAGAGAAAAGCTGTCGACAACTGGCTTCCTAGAAAGAGAGCAGAGGCCCAGCCATGCCCACCCAGCCGTAGACCCCGTGCATGTGCGATGATGTGTGGTGACCCGCACAGGTATATAAAAGAAATCCGACAAACCGAAGAAGCTCTTCAAAGAGTCATCAGTGAGAAGGACACAATAGAAGTAGGTCTGTGCTCTATCTTGTTCCGGATGCGACGTGTCAGCAAAGTTGTTCAGAATAATCCCATACGTATGTTCCCCGACAACAGATGGCGATTTGTACGTTTGCTTCTGACTACCACAGCTGTCGTCAAACGAAATGCTGCTGCAGAGCTGGATTAGGAGTTCTCGCAGAAAGAACTGGCTGCCAAGAGTGTGTCTCTCAACCAGCTGAACGAGCAGAACACCTCTGCGGTGCGCGAGTCCATTGTCATGCAGGCATCGGTCGCCAGTGTTTGCTTGTGAGATTGGACATATCGAATGTGATAGGAGCGCACAGCTGCAGAAGAACAGCAGCTCAGAAAGGACTTTCCATGCTTGGGATGTAACTGCGGAGTCGGATTCAGTCCGATGTGGCAGGAATTGCGGGAGCTCCAAGTCGAAAAGAAAGACCTTCAGGACCTCGGTACCTTCTCTCCAGCATCACTTCTTTACGATGCAGACATATGCAGGACAAGTTGGCTCTCAACGTGAAAGACTTGGAACTCCTGGAACAGGACTTGGCAGTTGAACGACAGTGTGACATAGTGTGACGTGCGACCTTGTGCATGTGCAGTCATCGTGCCCAAAGCGACGGCACTGACAGGGAGTTTGCAATGTGGAAGCGCAGCAGATTTCTTAAGCGCGCTCTCCTGGCCCTCACGCGACTGCAACCAGGTGGAAACCAAGAAGGAGGGAACCAGGAGTAAACCACCAAACAGAGAAACAGGAGTCGAAACACACACAAGTAACACAGAAAGCCGTCCAGCCAGTTACAGAGAAAGGCCTGCCGCCCGTAACAGGGAAGACGCCCTAAACCCCCATGCAGGGCTCTCGGTCGCGGCAATATTCCTGGCCGTTGTCTTCATTTTGAGCACGCGGTCCAAAATATTGTTGCAATTCTTCGTGGCACACCCGGACGCCGACCTCACGGACTTTAGCATTTTGCCGAAGCTATACGACCTCGCTTTGCAGCATGGTCCACAATTGGGGGACGCTGGAACCGTGCATGCAGCGGCCACCAGCCTGGGAAATCTCATCGATTCCATCCTGCTGCCCTACTGGCGCCAGCCACAGGAACACCCAGTGACCGCCCTCGTCCAGTGCCGCAGCATCCGCGACGCACGTGAACTGCTGATGCAGATCCCCCATTTTGGGGAGTTGGCATTGGCGCACGTTTCTAGTTACATTGCCGACATGGATAAGGGCTTGCAGCGATTGTCCTGGTCGCAGCAGAAACTTCCGGATGCCCAACTTCCATTGGCAGCAAACGCCCGAACGTGGCTGGCGCTACGCCGGGCAGGCCGCGAGCTCACTAAGAGTCCCGGTTGGCTTGAGGAAGAGGCACGAAACTGGGTGCAGACTATGCAAGCCATGATGCCGAAGACCGTGACCTACCGAAGGCATAGTGATGGCGTGGAGGTCGAGTGGAAGCCGCAGATAACGCGACCCCTTTGCCAAGCCAGCAGCTGCAAGAGCCTCCAAGTCTTGCAAACATGGCTCAGCGGAATGCTGGGAAACCACGGACGCAAAAGCGCCGCGGACATGCTGCCATCGTGGCGCCGCAAACGCTGGTGCCCGAAGCGCAAGCGGTCGCAAGGC